TTCAACATTTTTAAGGATGGTTCAAGGTAAATTCTGACTAGTTCAGTGGTTTTAAGCCCAGTTCAGGGACTTTCATGACCTGTTCAATGTGTTTCAAGGCCGGTTCAGTGGGTTTAAGGCTGGTTCAATGGGTTTTATGTCCAGTTTAGTGGTTTTATCACTGGTTCAGTAGGTTTCATGTTCAGTTCAATGTGTTTGAGGTCTGGTTTAGTATTGTTTTGATTAGTTTAGGACTTTAAAATTCTCGACATGGCTTAAAACATGAAAACTAAAGATAAGTTTGGGTTTTTTAGAGGAATTTAATTTTAAATTAACTTTGAGACATATTACATTCTAAATAAGAATTTTGATGATTTCTAGATTGCTTGTTCGACTCTCGTGACGCCGAACTGTCGAAACTTGAGTTTCATGATTCTTAGATTTTGTGAGTAATAGTATATATTTATGTGTTATATTGTTCCATATCTGTTCATTAACCAGTTTTACATGATTTATTAGATAAATTCAGTTATTACAAAGTTTGAATTTAAATTTGTTACAAAATGTTTACAAGGGATGTATATGTAATTTTTTGATTTGTTGGAAAGTTTTTCTAAACTATTGATTTCTGTTTTGATATTTTGAAAATGTAGAAGTTTGTAAATGGTTTCTGTTAAACTTTGAAAATGTATTTGAAGAGAGTGTCGAACTATTAGAACACTGTAACTAACGGCAGTAAGCGTTAAACTGGATACATCTTGAAGTGTATGCTACACTATCATGTGAAGCTGACGTGATAAATTTGATTATTGTTTTATGGCAGACTAAATGTTGCCATCTTTTTATATGTGTTAAGGCAAATTATAAGGTTGCTGTCCTGTTTCTTGTTTAGTTCTCTGGGTCGAGCTCCTTAATTTGTATAATTGAAACATTATGTTTTATGACCAAAAATATCTTATATATGTCCCTTGGTATATAAATATATATTATTATTTACTGGGTTAGTAGACTCATTCTTTTATTTTTCTAAACTTAGACTCGGCTCTACAGATAGATCCTGCTGTGTGATTGGATTTCGTGGTGATCGTTGATTGATTTTTGGTTATACCAGTTAGTCTTTGTGTCTCTACAGTTTGATTGATTGACTCTGTTTTTAGTTAGCTTGGTGATCGTAGACAGGTTTTTCAATGTAAAGAGATGGTTTGGTATTTATATATGTATTTCAGATATTATTCAGCATTAATATTTTTTTAATGCATCATTATTTTCGTATGTGAAAGGATTGCGGGGTTAGGACTTATTTTAATCCTAGTGCCGTCGCGAATCCGACTTTCAAGTTGTGACATAATTATTTACTTTTGATAATTTTGTGAATTGTAGGCATTTATTTGTTCACTTTGTTTAATAAATACTTACAAAATTATTGGCGGAGAGGAAAAATTGGCTCATATGTGCAAGGCAATGGAATCTAAAAGAAGGTCGAGGGCAAAAGAGGAACTCGGTTTGAGGAGTTATTCGTCAAATTGGATGACTTTGACTTGGAAAGATTTGCTATTATTTTCTCTGTGTGGATGCTTTCCTAATTATTAAAGGAAAAGCTTGAGGACTTTTTTGCGTTGGGCGCGGGCCCCCCGCGGGGAGGGGGTGGGGGAGGTGGTGTGGTATCAAGAGAACACGCTTTGGTGCTGAATTTTCTTTCTCTGAAGCTGTGGAGAAGAAAGGGGACACGATACATCACTGTGTTCGTAGTTGATTGATTATTAATTTAAAAGTTACAGTATGTTTCTATTTAATAAATTTTGATTTTTGTTTTCTTTAAGCATAAACTGATTTTAAAATTTTAAAATTATAACAGAACTTAACATGTAGATTGTTATTCTAAATTTAGATCTATTCTTATAATTTCAAATTTTACTATTTATTCTACTATGTTATTAATATTTTCAATTATTTGATCAATAGTTAAATAGATTTGAGAATTTAATTAAATTTTGAGAATGGAATAATTAATTTAACCATGAATTGAATAGTCTAAATTTGATTTTTATGCATGAATGAAAAATTGATTTATGTGTAGGATAAAAATATACCTTTTCAATCCTAATTACTCAAGATTAGAATCTGTATTTAATAAATCTCATCAAAATTAGTTTTCATAGGGATATAGTCAATTTATTTTAATTATGTGTGTTTATATTATTTTAAAAAAGAATAAATAATTTAACTCTCTAGTTTGATAGTTCAATTTGTTTGAAATCCTAATAGGTTAATTTAAAACCCAATGACATACTACTAAGAGAAGTTAAAATCCTATATTTTTTTTTTTCATTTCTGCTATCTTGCCTCTGGTTAGTGTGTCAAGTTAATTTTCATTAAATTTTAATTTATTATCTAATTTCTAATTTACAGTATAAAATTTATTTAAATAAGATTAAATTATTTTTAATTTTAATATTTAATAAATTAATTAGATATTAATCTTTTATAAAATGATACTTTCTTTTATCATTATGTTACTTGCATATATAAATTATGTCACATCTGCGCGTCCCGTGTGCCGTGCTAAAACACGGTAATGTCCTTAAGAGACTTGACTGCTTTTTTGCAAAACTTAAATATTTCTTCAAAGTAAATTGAGAAGTCTACCTAGCTTTTTTTTCTCGTCTTTTTGACTCCTAAGGTGTGAAACTAGTGTTTTTCTTCTGCAATGTCCCATTAGATCTATTTTTTACTTAATTGTTTCAATTCTTTGCAAACTATTAGGTTATCAAAAGTTGGAGTGTTTATCAAATTAAACTAAACTAATTAAATTGAGTAAACCCAACTAAATTGTTGTTTAGTTTGATTTCATATAAGTTATGAGTTGATTTAATCCGATTTAGATTAGATTTTTTTTTTTTTTTGTCACGATTCAATTTGTGATTTGACAATCACAACGAATAATATAAACAAAACTGAACTGTAAATTATGTTTAGATTTATAGTTTAATCCTTTAATTTTCTTTTTCTTTTATTCTAATCTCTTCACTTTCTTTTTTTTGGCATTTCAGTTTTTAGTCTCCTTTACTTTTTTTTTTTTATGTTCTCTTAAACTTCCAATTCTTTCAAATAGTCTTCTTATTTTGGTTATTAAATATGAGATCAATATTTAATTTATTGAATTTATTAAATTTTCTCTATGACTATTCTTTTCAAATATCAAATTTAATTAATTTTACTTTAAATTTATAATTATATAGAAGTAAAGAATTTGATAAAAAGTTAAATAAATTTAATTCATGTTTTTAAACTAAACCAAATTATAAATTATAATTTGATTTAATTTAATTTGATTTTAAAAAAATTTATAATTTAATTTGATTTTAAAATTATAAATTATGAGACGTGATTTGGTTTAAAGGTAAATCTTAAATGGAGCCAAACCCATTTACCAAAAACCCGTCCAGAAGGAATTGACCGTCTTTCTCCATCACGAACACCCCTGTCCAGAAGGGATTGACCCTCTTTCTCTACGTAAATTGCACGCACATTTGAAGGTGTGGAAATAAACGAGGCCCAACAAGAAAATGACGAACAAGTCATCTTCAACTAATTATTGGGATCTGAATCAGAGCTCAAATTTAATTCTAATCTTACAACTAAATTCCAAAATAGTTAAATTGAGATTTAACTTAGATCTAATTAAAATTGGGCATAAATTTCTTAACGAGTTGAAATTGTTTATCTTTTAAATTTTTTAATATAAACTTATTTATTTAATTTCAAATATTTAAAAATTGACATAGAGAGAGTAAAATAGTAATTAAATAATTAAGTAATAGAATAGTACCATAAATTTATCATTTTATCGATAGAATTTAGATTATCACATTTATAAAAATCTTAATTATTAAGGAATAGAAATTCCTATTCCAAATTGGTTACCAGATACATTTTTGAAATGATTCATGTCAAAATGATTTATATTCTTATTCTTATTCCATCAACAAAATTCTATTATACCATATTGCAAAGAAAATTTTCGTGATTAAGGGGACATTTGCAAGGATGTATGTCTACTTGACTGATCAGACTTATAAAATGTCAAGGTATGTTTAAAATTTCGAAAAACCCCTGAGGCCTAAAACTCCAATTAATTGATTATAAGTTTGGACGCAAAAACCCATGACCTCATGAGTCTGGAGTCCCAAAATTATCCTTTACTCAGCAACTATATATGTCTTACTAATTAATATGGTCAACAAAAATAGCTGAAGTACGATAAGAACCAGCTTTAATTATCCCCAAACTTCAAAAAAATTACAGTGCAAGTTCGCGATGGTTTTACTCAGCAACTATATATGTCTTACTAATTAATATGGTCAACAAAAATAGCTGAAGTACGATAAAAACCAGCTTTAATTATCCCCAAACTTCAAAAAAATTACAGTGCAAGTTCGCGATGGTTTCCTAAATATACACGAGAAACATAGATATCTTATCGCTCTCAAATAAAATCCATCAGAAGAACCCAATCAGCTACTTTGCTTGGAAAGCAAGCAAAGTTAATATTTTAGTAAGTTGACCGACTTGGTCGATGAATTTTCCGAGCTCTCGTTGCCCCCAATTAATCAACTTGACCAGTTCAGCAAGCCGTGGATCAAGCTGAAATTATCAATCTCCTAACTTTTCAACAGAGACTGCTGCTTCTAAAAATAAGCCAGCCTTGATTTAGCTCTGTACTCGCCTTGTACATAAATGTGAGCTTCCACCAAAATGATTCCATAAACTCAGACTTCCCCAACAATTTTTAGAGCATTTTGTCATTTTTAAGTCTTAAATTTTTCCTCCTTCCTTCAAATTTTTCCCCACTTTGAAAATTTTGCTTGGATCTGAGTTGGAATATAGTTTTTGAGATTTTGTCAGAGAATGTATCGGGATTAAAATACTCAATTTTCACGATCTGATCACACGGATCTTACTTCAAACTACAAAACCAGCCTATCTTCTCTCTTTTCCTTTTGCACTCCATTTCAACAGCTATGAACTCCAGCACTCCTACACATTCATTAAAGTTACTTCCCTTTTCTCTTCTATTCCTTCTAGGGATTGTTTCTGCAGCACCACACAACATTCCCAGACTTACTGCAATTCGTGGGAAACAGTTTAAACAGGCATCTAATACCATATTAGCTTATAATTCGGAGGATTTCAAAACCTTCTTCCACAACCAAACACTCGACCACTTCAATTTCAGGCCCGACAGCTATGCAATATTTCAACAAAGATACATGATCAATGATAAGTACTGGGGTGGTGCAGAGGCAAACGCGCCAATCTTTGTTTATCTTGGTGCAGAGAATCCATTAGATGATGACTTTAATGTGATTGGATTTTTAGCTGATAACGCGCCTTATTTCAAAGCTCTCCAAGTTTATATAGAGGTATTCAAATATGTTAGTTATTGCTTTTTCCTATAGACTCATTTGACCAGAAGGTAAGAAAAGAATAGATAAGGGCAAAGATCCCATTTTTTGTTTGATTTTTACCTTATCCTGGCTTGTAGGAACTCTGTTCTTGCCCTGTTTTCTTCTTTATCCTAGCATATGATTTTATGCTATTTAATTTTTGGGTTGTTTGACAGTATCGAATTGAATGGTTGATTGAAAATTTCTGAATTCTCAGCATCGTTACTACGGGCAATCAGTTCCATTTGGATCAATCGAAGAAGTCATGAAGAATGAAGACACCCGCGGTTACTTCAGTTCAGCTCAAGCTATTGCGGATTACGCAGAAGTTATCCTACACTTGAAAGGAACACTATCTGCCCAGAGCTGCCCAGTTATTGTTGTGGGAGCTTCTTACGGGGGAAGTAAGTTTACATGATATCACTAGCTAATTTAATTTGAGTTAATTTTGTGCTTTAATTTATGGTTGGATTATTTTTTATTTACTTTTAACAATCACCCATAATTTTTGTTGAAAATTTCAGTGCTTGCTTCATGGTTTCGGCTCAAGTATCCTCACGTTGCTCTTGGAGCTCTAGCCTCTTCAGCTCCTATCCTCTATTTTGATGACATCACTCCACAAAATGGATACTACTCGTTGTCAGCAAGGATTTCAAGGTACCTATTATACCTTCAAACTTTGATGTTTGTGTGAATTTTTCTAAAGGGTTTTCAGGTCGTGAACTAGTTCAACAAGTTTTATCCTTCTTATAAATCTTATATTAACAGTATACATTGCAAAGCAAGATAAATTACACTTTCACCTTTGAGATTAATTGACACTAAATGTAAATATAAAAGACTGACACCAAATTTTATACCGTTAATTTGGTCAAAATTAACGGATAAAATTAATTAGATTATTTTTCAATAATTTTTAATAAATAATTTATTTTTTAATAACTTTTAATAATTAATTTGCAGTTAATTAATCTCGTCTGTTAATTTTGACTAAATTAACGGTGTAAAATTTGATACAAGTTTTTTATACTTACACCGGTGTCAATTGATCCATTCTCTTTACGTTCAGTTAGTTTTACACTAATAAATTCTCTCTCAATCTTTTCAATTTTCTCTCTCTAACTTTTTTTTGCCTTTTTCTCTCTAATTTTTTTCAACATTGTTTCTTCTAAATTTTATCAACTTTTCCTCTCTAATTTTTTTTTATCTTATTCTCCTTAAAATTTTCTTTAAAAATTTAATTAAGTTTCCTCTCTTTAAAAAATATGATTTTGATAAATTTAAATCATACATATATTACATTGATGTCAAATCAATTGATATCCATTCAAACCTATAAAGTCCAATTATTAAATATCGTTTGAACAGGCAAATGGGCTTGTTTTGAATTGTCATAAATAGGCCAAGCTGTTCACGAATTGTCTTTGGACGACTTTGGATTAGTTTGACTCGCGTAGCTAGTTAAGTCAAGTTTAAATTAAAAAATTAATTTTTTTATTTAAATAAGTTTGGACTAACTATGTTAAGTCTGATTCTTAATTAAGTCTGCATAATAATCTATATAATCAATTACATATAAAATATATTTTTTAAATATAATTTATATCATATAATTATTATAATATATAGATATTAAAATAATTTTACACTTAATTAACCACATCACACTTTACTTGGTTGCAGAAATTTGTTTCAAATATTAAGTTTTATTTGAGTTGGTTAATTTTTATACACAAGTTGAAAATTTTAATATAATTTATTTTAGAAAATAGATTTTGTTGTTTAAATATGTATGCACTGTTAGGCTAATAAGTCAAATCAAACCTTGCCAATTTTACAAATAAATTAGATTAAGACTAATTTTTTAACCTATCATAAGTCATAAGTCAAGTTCAAGCTAGTAATTTTTATAGTATATGTATTTTCTTTTTTAAATCTTGACATGACTCATCCTAACTTATTTCCACATTACTAAACTTTCGTAATTAAAATGATTACATCCAAATGAAAATACAATGGATGTAAATGTAATTTAGCGCACGAAATATGAGAAAAATAAAGTATGCTTAGCGCCTTAGTCTTTGTTAATGATGGGGTATTGCAGGAAGCAAGCGAGAGTTGCTACAAAACAATACAAGAATCATGGTCCGAAATCGACAGAGTTGCTTCCCAGCCCAACGGTCTCTCTATCCTCAGTCAGAAGTTCCGGACATGCTCGTAATAACCAAATAAGCAAACCCCCACCTTGTTCTTTCATTTCCCGTTCTGTTGAATTCACTTGAACTTTATCATGTCCTCATGTCTCAGGCCATTGAACAACTCTTCTGACCTCAAGGACTACTTGGAGAGCATTTACACCTACGCAGCTCAGTACAATGATCCCTCTACTAATCCTGTTAGCAATATCTGTGCTGGAATTGATGGAGCCGGCCAAGGAACCGACGTTCTCAGCCGGATATTCACCGGCTTGGATGCTTATTATCAAGATTCATGCTATAACTTAAATCCCTCGGGCACAACTTCAAGGTCCTACTTTAATGGGTGGGGTTGGCAAGTGAGTTATATTCTTCACCATCATCTCGCTGATCAGTATAAGTAACTAGGATTGGGTTTCCTGTAAAATAGTAAAAAAACATATATGAAATTCTAGGACATTAATCCTTTTTGTAGAAAAACAAAAATTGAATTTCATATTTTTTTTGTGTGTGGGCATCATAAATTTTGAGTCTAATAATGTATATTTATTTATGTGTAGAGATGTAGTGAAATGGTGATGCCCATTGGCCGCAGTGACAACACCACCATGTTTCCACCAGAACCCTTTGATCTAGATAGCTATGTTAAGCGTTGCGTGAGCTTGTATGGCGTCTCACCTCGGCCCCATTGGGTCACCACCTACTACGGAGGCCATGTATGTTTCCCTACTCAGAGGGCAATTCAAATTATTATATTATATATATATATATATATAAATTGAACATAAAATATTTTGCAGGATATAAAATTGGTTCTTCGAAGGTTTGCTAGCAACATCATCTTCTCCAATGGCCTCAAAGATCCATACAGCAGTGGAGGGTAAAAAAGATTGCTTTATTACCTTTGGGGTTAATTCCAAGTGCCAAGTATTTTGTTTGGTTAAAGCCCAAACTTTTTCATAAGACAATAATGGAAATTAGCTGTTGATTTTTTATAATTAAGGTCTTTTTTTGTTTAAATATTAACTATAAAGAAATTTGAAAATCAGTTCTTTGAAAATTTTAAATTCCAAATTGTACGAATTTTAAGAATCCAACCACACCTTATATAGACTTCTTCGTACAAATTTTAAGAATCCAAGCACACCTTATATAGAATTCTTCTTCTTCTTATCATTATTATTATGCAACAATTCACTAAATTTAATTCTTTTTTTATTGTAGGGTTTTACAAGATATATCAGACAATCTTCTTGCAGTTTATACTGCAAATGGTATGTGAATCATTTCCTACGTATGTTATTAATTATAAAGACAAATATATATCAGGGTGTTTAGCTCTTCAAATTTTTATGAATCTTCTAGTATAAAATAAAAAAGTTATTTATTTTGCGTCCTTGATTTATTTAATAATTTTAAATTTAATTTAATTAATTTTTTATTGTATATAAATAATTAAATATCCTGCATTTGATGATATGGCTTGAGTCTCAAAAGGTAGACTTTTCTATTTTTAAGGGTAACCAAACATTGCCCTAAATTTATGTGCTGTTATTAAAAAATTATTTGCATTAAATAAAATGCTTGGCAAAATCATCTCAGACATGGTGAGTGAGATTGAAATATAGAGAGAAATGACAGAGACTGTGTTTGAATTTTCACATAAATGTCAAAGAATAAATTGTTTTCTTTCCCTTTTTTTTTTTTTAACTTCTGGAATGTTGATGGCTGAAAAGGATCCCACTGCTTGGATGTTCTCTGGGCGAAGGAAAGTGATCCACAGTGGCTGATAATGCAAAGAAAGGTTGAGGTCAAGATAATTGAAGGATGGATCAGTCAGTACTACGCTGATCTTCAAGCCTTGAAACATTAGATCATTTCTCAAAACTTGCACATAGCAAGTTTTAGACATACTGAATGTTTGAGGAGGGGGATTGCTAAAGTTATTTTTCACTGTGAGACCCGTTAAAAGAGGAGTGAAATGTTTGGTTATATTCATAGTTTTTAAAACTGTATTGAATTGAACTGAATCTACTGTACTGTATCGGTATTTTACTTTTATTTTTAAATTTATATGTTTTGCTGTTAAATACTAACATAGTAAATATTTTAATATAATTTTAATTTTATAAATTAAAAATGGGCTAAAAATTAAACTAACCTATATATTATATCAAAATAATTTATTAAATTAATTACTGAATTATTTTATATTTCAAAGATTAAATTCAAACAATTCAAACTTGTTAGAATATGGAAAACATATAACTCATTTGAAATTGAAAAGTTGTCACGATCTGAAAAGTCGGATCCATGACCAGCACTAAGGTTAGGATAGTCCCAACCATGCAAGTCTTAAATACTCAGAATTATAATAGAACAAAATAAACTTAACTTAATACAATGCCCACAATCTGATACAAACTTCCAAAAATCTAATACAATCATTAACATCTAAAAATCCTTAAACTCAAATTATATCTGTGCTAACTAAAATAAATTAACACAATGGGAAAGAACAATAACTGACTACTACACTCGAAAACCAAATTTATTAGAACCACAGAATCGAGATCGACAACTCTTCTCACTCACAGGATTAGTCGGAAGTACATAACCTGAGTTTAAAAAAATTAAATGGTAAGTTTGACGACTCAGTGAATAGTAATACATATTTACATGACAAGGGACATGTATCATATAGTTTTAATCATAAAATAGACTTTTCAACTTATACAAGTTATATATAAGTTATGGCATTCAAAACGGAAAACAAGACAGAAATAGGACGGCAATCTCACGGTCTGCCGTCACTTATATAACAGAACTAAACAAAAATAGAATGGTAACCACATGTGCCAGATACACATATACACATATAATAGGCGAGAATCACGGGCGGGACTTACAGACGAGAATACAACCACCATTCCTGCTTACCACCATCCCTACTTTTATCAAACAGACTTATCATGTCAGATTCACGTAGTCGTTTAGCACCCCCTGCTAAACTGTGGTTACAATCTTAAAATCATTTTTCTTAGAATTTAACTGAAACAATTCATAAGTTTTCAATGTTTCAAATAGATCAGTAATCAAAATTAATAGTTCAAGAATTTCTAAACAGATCAAAAAATGACATATACGTCTCTTGTAAACTTTTATAGCAAAGTTAAATTTCAGTTTCGAAATATCTAAATTTACTAAACAATTCGTATAAAACTTAACATTTAGCAGTTACGAAAAATCACAAATCATATAAATATATATTACTACTCACAGACACTAGAGAACTACGAAACTTGAGTTTCAACACTTCAACTTCACAAGAATCGATCCCTCAATTTAGAATTAATCAAAATTCTTATTTTAGAATATAATTCATCTCATAATTAACTTAAATTCAAATTTTCATCAAAACTATACTATTCTCTTAGGTTTTTATGTTCAAACTCGTATTGGGATTTCTAAAAATCCCGAACCGATCATATAATTCATATTTTAAATATTAAATTCTTGAACCGAGCTTATAAAACAATAAATTTATCTAATTATCATTTAAACCAATCATTAAAGTACTAAATTGAACTTGAACTGATTACTAGAAGGTTGAACCAATGGTGAACGGATCAAAACAATATTGAACCGAATCTCAAACACACTGAACAGGACATGAAACCCACTGAATCGGTGATAAAACCACTTAACCGCCAAGAAACCCATTGAACTGGTCACAAAACCCATTAACCCGACCTTAAATCCATTAAATCGGTCATAAAAACCTATTAAACCGGCCTTAAACCCACTGAACCGGCCTTGAAATACATTGAACCGAGCATAAAAGTCAATGAACCAAACTTAGAACTACTAAACCAATTAGAATTTGCCTTGAACTGGTCATAGATATGTTAAACCGATGGTTTTCTAATTTTTTCTTAATTTCTTAGACATTGGACCAGTTGGTTCACCATTGAACCGGCCGGTTTACCCTTGAACCAGCTGTGAACCAGGTAGACAATTAAATTATTTTCTTACCCATACCTTGAACTGATTAAGAATCGGTGGGAAAGCCCCTAAACCGCTAAGTCTTTATTTTCTGCATATGTTTTCTAATTTCTATTTTATTTTCTTATTTTCTAAAATTTTATTTCTTTTTTTTCCTTCTAGGCTGGACCGGCCCACTAGCCATGGCCCAAGCTTTTTTATTTTCTATACGACCAAAGCCATTTGGGTTGGCCCAAAGTCAAAATTTGAAACCCAACCCGAAGCCCTTTTTAACAGGCCGACCCACAAACCGTAGGGTTGCTTCTTCTCCACCCAAAACATTGGTTCTAACCTGAAAATCTACAGCTTTAAAACGAATGAAATGGTTGAAAGCTTACCTCGATTTGCTTGCAATTTATCCTCCTACAAGACTCGGAATGATCAAGCGATGAGCCTTGATCGATTTAATCGATCCAAACAACTTCAATTTGTCTGATTTTTGCCAAGAACCAATTGGAACTGACGGACAGACTAGTCAATTCAATCCTCCAAAATTTCCAACTTTTGCTAACTTAAAACATCCAATTAACATAGGGCTTTTCTAGATCAGACTAAATCGAATGAGATTATAATTGAATTTTAATTAAAACGACTTAGTTAATAACGAATTTAAAGCTTTTAAACATCGCGGACCTGAAAGTTCAATTGTTAGTGGTTTGATTTTCTTGATTTTTTAATTCAATCCCCAAGCTTTGCTTCTTATGCGATGTGATCCCTGATGACTTTTATATATTATGTTCATGCCCCAAAAACTCTATTTCTTTCAATTACCCCCTCACTTATTAATTTCTTTAAAATATGGAATTTTACAAAAGTTATATTCAAAAAATTGATCAGTTATTTTCAAAAAGTTCCTATTTTTAAAAAATAAGAAGAAGTTACTATAAAATTTTTTAAAACTATTTTAGCTCAAAAATGAAGTTATTATGAATATAATGAAAAATTAGAGACCTTCAATAATTATTTTTTAAAACACACAAAAAAATAAAATATGACAGAAATCCAAACATACTCTAATGTTGTTAATTTTGTTAATATTGAAAAACAAAAAAGACTAAGCCGACATTTTGTTTAAAAAGGGTGGAGCTATTTTTTACATAGTATTGACACCCTAGACTTCTACAACGCGAGCTCCAATTATTGATCATGCACCTCTCCTCTTCATTTTTCTTTATTGCCTCTCTCTCTCTCTCTCTCTCTCTCTCTCTCTATATATATATATATATATATAAGGAATAAAAGCGCACTCATTCAAAAATTTGTTCGAGAGTTGCTTATGGAGTAATTGATGAATTTACCAAATTAGATTTTATAATTATAGACCTTATTCTAACACAAATTTTTAAAAACTATTCATCGATTGTCTTGCAAATATAATAAAACGGTAAAATGGTACAATATTAAATCATACCACATTAAAACTAGATGAAATTGAGGGTAAACCAGTATAAAAAAGCACAAATTTGACTTTAAGACTAAAAAATTTAAAAAAAATAGTACAGTATAAATTTTATAAAAAAATAATAAAACTTTAATCCATGTTCATCCCTAAATGTAATGTCCGGTAAGTAAACATTATAAATTGGGGGGCTTCTAGGAAAATTTAATTCATTTCCATGGATAAAAATATCCAAAATCCTGAAGCAAATTACAGCACAAATAGCATGAGATTTTTATTCTTTGTTTGGAGTGGAACCTTTTTATGGAAAAAAGAAAAATTAGAGAAAATACAAACGAGGGGGGGAATGGAAGTAATTTATTATTTTTTGGTTGGTTAGAAGATGAAAATATATCAACATATTTTAAAAATTTTATTTATGTATGTATATAATTATTTCCTAAGAAAATTACAGAAATAAAATTTCATTTTCCTCATAAAATCTGGATCCAAAAATTAGTATTATTCAACATTAGAATATTGACAAGGAGCATCCTCAGTCTAATTTAACTGCTTTCCTTTCCTCGGTTCAAAACTCAAATATATTAAAAATAAATAAATGAGAATTCCTCCCTTCGCAGAAAGAGGCCTTGTTATTGGACTGGGCCGGCCCCTAGTCATAGCGGGCTAGGCTTGAGAGAGTCTTCGGAAGCTGCAAACAGAGCCCTGCTACGAGGCTTGAGAGAGTCGACAGAGTTTCGGAGCAGAGCAGAGAGGGGCGGACTTTAAGAGAGACTAGTAAATTAGCAGAGCGAAGTTGGCAAGGTCAGATCGAAGATGTTGCGGCTGAAGCGGTTGGGGTCTATTTCGCCGGCATTTCTCAATCCTCGACTGTTCTTCACACTCGAAGAAAAGCGCTCCTCTGGAATCCCTTTATCCCTTCCATCACGAAGGACGTCAGAACGCTTCCTCGACATTTACGAGGTCTCCATGTTTTCTCCTTTCTGTTTGGATGCCGAGAATGTACGGGAAAAATGAAGAATTGGAAGCATAATTCATAAATATCTATCCTAAATTCCTGTCGTTTCATATTTGTAGGGAGGAAGAAAAAAATCTCCCATCACACTGAGCCTGAATCAGCATAAAAACCTAACACTGAAATCTTTCTGTAGTTCTTATACATTCTATTGAAAATTCTCTTGTTTACAGCTTGGAAGCAAAGCTGCGATCGAAAAAGAGCGAGCTCGGATGTACGTTTCATTACCTATACTTTTAAGTATTGTTTCAATTGTTTTCTATTGTTTTCCAGTACTTCCATTCTTACACTTTTTGAATTTAATTCGAACCATTGTATCTAGGGCAGTCAAGATGAGATGAGTAGAGGCTACTTCGCTGACATTTCTGAGATGAAGAAACACGGCGGTAAGGTATGATTCAAATGACAATTTTTCCTTATGTATGGAAATATTGTGTTCAGTATTGGATTATGGAGTTCTCTATTGTAATTTTCTAACTGGAAATGAGTGATTTTGTTCAGATTGCAATGGCCAATAAGATTGTAGTCCCTGCAATGGCAGCTGTGAAGTTTCCCTCGTTAGAAGTGAATCACTCAGATGGTACGACACTCAAGCTTCCCATTACTTGTAACGGGAATGAGGTTGATTCCTACAAGTCAGTCGTCCCAAAAGCAACCTTATTATGCCTTTCATTTCGAGCAAGTTCTCAGGTTCAAAATATGTTTTTGATGTTACAGATTTACGATAATAGTTTATTTTATTTGACGGCATTTGTACTTAATCGTAAAGACTAGAACTCTGTTATCTGTTAATCCTAGTATCTCTTTGCTTTATATTTTTAGCTTTGGTTTATGTCAGTGCAAGGATGTAACAACACTGCAATTTCCCTAACAATATATTCTTTTACTTTATTATAGGAAGTCATCCATTTGCCCAACTCTGTTTTATAGTTTACTTGAAAAGCTTTCATAACATCTAAATTACATAAACTTGTTAGGTGAATTTTCCCGTGCTGTTTTAATCTTTTGGTACCTTATTTTGTGCTATGTGCTACATTCATCTTGCAGGTAGTTGACTGAGATAGCCAATAAAAGATTGTAGAAGTATCCTCCAATATCAGTTCTTTATAGTCACCATCCTTATTAAAATTTATTTCATCGAACAGGCAATGGTTGATTCGTGGAGTGGGCCCTTTTTTGAGACTTTTAGGAACTCGGAAAAGGTTCATCTATATCAGGTACTATCTCTTTGTTGCCTCCTTGGAAGACTGATCAGTTCTTCAGAAATGTTTTCAGCTTATAGTTTAAATCTAGAACTAGATAACTCTCACTGCATTCCTAGGATGTGAAGTTCTTAACAGCTTGTTCAATTGAAAGATTCATTTTATTCCTTAGGTGCTGTTTATGGAAGAACCATTGATGAAACCTGGATTATATAATTAAGAAGTCCATCGTCATTCTTAATATCCTGAAGTAGAAAATTTTTGTTCTGCTAATTACAGTTGATCAACTCAGATTTGTTAGACCTTTTATTTTTAAATACTTGGAACTTTTTGTAATATAGTAGTTTTTTAAGTGTGATAAAGGATGAATGTCTTGCTTCACTGCCACTGTTTCTTGAAAATTTTGGATACAAGATGCTTAAGCTGAAGAAATAACCTTCTATGTAAATGGGACTACTGAATTGTGAAAAATTTATATTTAATTTAAATATTGCCTATTTAGTAAACATTAACCAATTATATAGGGTAAGCATTGGTGCAGCAACAGAGGTTATTGCATGCAACTTGGTGGTCACAGGCTATAAATGGAAACAGCCTCTCTGCATTTAAAGATAATTATGGTTGAGTGTATTTGATCCAAGCCTTATAGCAGTATAAGCCTTCTAAGCTGGGCTGCCCCTTTGGAATTGTATCCAGCCTCTAGTGCATTATTCGTGTTTAGTTATTTCGTCATGAGAAAGGAAATTATCATGATTGTCACACCCCAACCATTCAAACCTTAAGGGGCATGACAGCGGGACAATAACCAACACACCGTCGGGTAAAACGCGGCAGCATGCTGGCTACTGTAACCCCTTTCTAGATGGCCTTAAGGGCCCTGTGTCTGAGTACCTGCTTTAAAATAACTTCACAACATATACATAACTTGCAATAACTCGGCCAACCCATAACTTAAGCATAATTCACCCTGTAATACATTTCTATTAATCATCTAACATCATGTCATGCTCAAAATCATCACATATGCTTAACCAACAGTAATTCATTCATAAGATCTCAACATCACAAATTACTTACAATTATCTAAAATATAAGACAATCTCCTAATATACATGACTCATCCCAATTTATAAAAACATAATCAAAATGATCATCGCAGCCTAGCTCACCTGGTGCTAGAATGTGAGTAAAACATAAACAATACGAACACCGATATTCTAACTTAATGTCTCAGCATCTACAGGGGGGAAAGAAAATAGTGGGTGAGACCAAAGTGCTAGTGAAAGGAAATCTAACTAATTCCAGTGGAAACAGTCAGTTTTTGTATCAATTTAAACAATATAAACATTCTCGAATAGTTTCATGTCATGAGACATAATAATTGAATTTTCAACAATGTGAAAGTTAAATTGTTATTTTTGCAAGTCATAAAACATAAGAAGGCATAAGCATGAACCATAAAAGTCTTCGTGAACATCATAGAAAAATCATAAAAATCATATTACATAATCATATTCACATGTATACTCTAGTCGGATGTACACAACCGAAGGTGTCTGGGGGCAGTAAAAGCATAAAACACAACATGGGCCCTCATTAGGCAAAACATAAATATGTGGGGCGCTACTACACCGTGTAGCTCGTGCTAGGGATCGCCACTCCCTGGCCAAGCTAACAAAGTCTTTGGCGCATGGTCCCTTTTTATTAGGGAAATAAATATACATATATTATGTCATACAAGAAGAACTGTCACCTGCCCCAGATGGCTGCCCGACATCATGGTCTGGGTGCTAAGGCACCAAAATAACATAAATTCATGAAAACCATGCAATTAAGTATATATTCGAAATCATAACATAGCTGGACTGTTTCCTGTGTTCTCAGTAACAACATATATTTGAGTTTGAAATGAGTATTGTTCATTGTAAATCATAATTTGCGGAAATAAACTAAGATTAGGAAGATTCTCACTTACCGTGCAAAATGAGCTTATAAGGGTGCTCCTAGAGTTATAAGTCCAGGGTCTGAAATAACTGGGGTATCCTCTCCTACAAGGGGGATACACAGCATGAGAGAAAAATCCTAAATACATCATACGAAAGCAATAACTATACCCTACAACGTATAAATACAACTTTTTCTCTCTTTCTAACCTTTGAGCTTCATCCAAACATGCCCTTAATCTCTCTCTAACATTTGGGTTTCATCTAAACATGCCTTTATCCCATTTTTCCCCATTTCAACTCTAACCAAACATGCCCTTATTCCATTTCAACATCATCTCACCCATTTATGTCACATTTCAACCATAATGACTTCATTCAAGTTTAATCCAATCATAAAAATATAGATATCTTCAAATAAAATAATATCTAAGGGTACTTTAATAAGAAATAACAAGATTCATGTAAAATATCCAATGGGTGAGGTAAACCCACTTTTCTCTCTCTACAATACACAATAACATCAAAATACAAAATCTACACCGATTAAAAGTTATAAAATGAAGAGAGGAAGCTAAACATATAGAAATATTGAAGAAAAATCAAATGGGGTTTGAGATTGGGCCATTTTACATACGTTCTTCTTCATTTTCTTGATTTCCTCTTCTCCACACTCTCTCTCTCTCTAAAAGTTGCGGGAATGAAGCTTTAGAAGCCCAAGAAGACTCCCCCAATTCTTTTAAAACAAATCACTTGTAAGCCAAAAGACCAAAATGCCCTTCCATAAAATTATCCTCAATTTTAATCCTAATGAATTTTTGGATGAATTTTGGGTACCCTAAGATATCTCCAAAATCTTTGTTTTATAGTTTTTAGGAGTTTAAGAGAGTTTAGGAGTACTTGGAGGGGTTAAAAATCCCAAATTTTAAAGAAAAAAGCCAAAAAAACATGTCTGGCCCGTGTCTACCACGCTATAGTGTGCCTGGGCGCGCTGCAGTGCGACAATTCCAGTGTGCAGCGCGCTGCTACAGTGACCGCGAATAAAAAAATATTTTTTTTTACAAAAACTTCATTTTTTCCAAAACTTCCAATACACCTCCTACCTTCCCAATTCCCTCTAAATAAATTTAAAATTCAAATAAAAATGGTTTAAGAATCCTTTTTCTTTTCTTCTTCCCTTTTTCTTTTTTTTCTAAAAGAAGTTGGTTTTGGGTGTTACAATGATCATGTCCTCTTAGATGTTGTGGCAAATGATCAGTTCCTCGATATAAATCCTGTTTACGTAAGCTGCAACCTGCTGCCAAGTTTGTTTTGTTAATTCCCAAATTTGGTGCCTTGAGTTTGGCAATCAATAGAAATATCGTTACAGTTTCTCTTAAAATCTAATATTGATCTCAGATTCTCAGGCCTTTTAGTTTATTTATAGAGGTATGTATTACCATTTGTACTCCCGCAAGTGCTCATCAGTGATGGTTGATCCTTTGTGTCCCAAAAGAGCTTGTAGTATATTTGTACATACATATATATTGATTATTTGATCTACTAGGTTTCTACTATAAATAAACAGTTGCCTCCTCATTCTATGACCTCTCTCTCTGTGTCAGATGCACACGCTTACCCACACACGTGCACACACTCTCTTATGTACAAGACTGATTAGCATCCTGAATCATTCTTGGAACTGACTAGGCTACTACCTTTTTCGCAGAGAGAACCTGAAACTGCTATTTTTATCTTTTTCCTTGCTTATAAATGAAACTGGTAGAAAGAGGGTAGAGGTATCCCATCTTTTTAAATCCATGGGAAAATACATGGACAATCCAGACTTCACAAATTGGTTATTTTTAGTGGCAACTATCCATAAAGCGAATGACTTATTACAAATAAACTGTGAGGCTCTGAAAGAGAAGAGATAACATTCCCCTTGTATCTAAGTTGTTTTCTTTTACTGGTGAGTTGTGCTGTTGCATCTTGTTTGGAAACATTATCAATTACTCTGGAACGCTCAGGTCTCCTTTATAGACTCATGGCTACTATCCCGCAATCCATTTAAGTGGCTTATGCTTCGGATAATGAGAAGATCTAAACCTAATGAAGGGAAGGATGTCTTGCAAAGGCAGATTGTTTATTCATTTGGAGACAACTATTACTTCAGAAAGGAGCTTAAGATATTGAACCTTCTCACTGGGTAGTAATTTTCTCAGTATTCTAATTTCAAAAATTGTTGGCTGGATGAGTTTTCATAGCACTGAAGCTTGCTTTCTATTTAATTGCACTTTCTACAGGTATATATTCTTGCTTGACAATTTTGGTAGGATACGCTGGCAAGGTTACGGTTCAGCAACAGAAGAAGAGTTGTCATCCATGTTGTCTTGTACCTCATTTCTGTTGCAAGAGAAAGATGTGGCTAAAGCATCCAACACAAATTTAGGTGATAGTAAGAGTCCACAGCAAAAACGCTTAGCTTAGTGAGTGTTTAATGGTGTTTTTTACATTTATCTTTTTATGTGTTTCCATTTGCAGTTGGTTGTTGGCAATTTTGTACAATCGGATTACACTAGAGTTTCTTAGATTGCCCATTAGGCTGCTACATCAAAGTGGGCTAAGATTATTAGTGGAGCTATGACTTGTGAACAAGACCTGGTAATGAGATTCAAATAAGAGATTAAAGCATGTAGATTAAATAAAAAGAAGAATATGTTGACTAACAACAAGGAGACTAAGTTCTATATTCAGATTATGTGAATGTTCATAGATATTACATGAGAGTGAGACTTTGGAGTAATAGAAACAGCCTATTCAGCCCAAACGGTACTGAGGATAAATGAAATTGCTACTACATTATTTTTTTATGTTAATGCAATAAACATTTGTAACTGCAAATTAATTTTATACTTTAGATAATTAAAATTATTTTAGTTGCTATTCTAATATTTTGAACTATTTTGAAATTCGTCTGGCAACAATTGGTTTACTTATAGGCACTCATACATCAAATATTTTGTATTTTTAAATAGAAATGATAATTGGGTATGTTTATATAAATCAAATATAATTTGTCATCAATTTGCAATGTATAAGATTTTATGTAGATTAGTCTTTCCCCTTCGTCCTAGATTTAATACTTCTCTACCCAGAGCCTTTCAAGTAAAGCAGATCACGTGGGAAGTTGGTGGGACTCAAAAATCTAGGGAGAAGATGTCCCCATTCCATAAAGGAAGAAGGGGGGAAGCAGCTTCACCTAAACAATCTTAAAGAAAAAGTTAAAAACCAGAAGGGGCAAAGAACAATTATTGAGGCTCTAAAGCAAGAAGATGGAAGTTTCCAAGGAAAGTATTTTGTTGCATTAGGAGGTTTGAGGTCAACAAAAGCCCCTGTAGAGTTGTCATCCAGCTAGCACAATCACTGCATTATGGGCAATTTGCAGGGATGGGGCTCAGCATGGCTGTGTATAATCAAAACCTTCATCAAAGAAGAAAAATATGTTAATATTGAAGAACGTATTGAAAAATGGTTATTTGGCTTCTGTAGCCAATAATTAAGTAGATAATTAGAGAAGCATCTAAGAAGTCACTAGTAATTACACATGAAGAAGCTTTTACAAGTTGATTTTGATTTTTTGAATTAAAAATAACCATGGGATTACTAGGGTGGTAAAAACCAATATTGGAATGGTTTTCTCTAGTTCTGCTTTTTTAGTTCTTCTTAGGAATCATTCGGTAAATTGAATTGAAAATATTCAAATAAAATATTTTAGTTGCATAATATTTTAAATTATTATATTTTATTTAATAAATTTTAACTCAAATTCAAAAAAAAATATTAGATAAATAAGTAAATTATTAAAATATTCTTTCCATTATTGACAATAGGTAGTTGGGGGTAATGATGGCAACAGTGAGAAGCAATGGACATTGGATAATATCATCTAATAAAATAAAAGCATATTTTAGTAATTTAACATATGAATAGTATAGAAAATATTATTTAAAGAAATTAGATAAAATTATCTCATATTTCTCTTATAATTTATTCAAATTTAGCTATAAAATTATTTTACCTAAATTTTTTATTCAATTTCATTATCTAACTTAACTAAATATTAGATAATAGTAAATAATTTATTATTATCTACCCTTATACAGTTCACTGAATAATCCCTTACTGTAATACTTTCAAAATAACCAAAAATTCGAGCAGCAGCTGAAGAATTTCCCGTACTTGAGAAAACAGAATACCCCAAAAGTTAACGATTTGTAAATAAAGAACTTTTGATGTTATATTCTAATCCTAGTAGGACAGAGAGATCATGTATTTATTTACATTTATAACTTGAATTGGAGTGTCTTTACTCTAAAGTAGAAAATGACTAAATAGGTAAAGTTCCAGTGTGAATAATAGGAGACGTGTGAGTCTGATTATTGGCATAAGAGATGCATGAAACCAAATGGGTAGGCGTGCTACTTTCTAGAAAGTTTATTAAAGTTGTCAAATTAGTTCTTATTCAGTGTCACCTTTTATTGACTTGTGAATTAAATAAAGAAATTAGGTGAATAAATATGTGATGAAGACGAAGGGCAGAGGCAGCAATCAAATTCAACTTTACTCCAAAGCTTTTCTAGTGGTACAATTAATTGCTGAGGAAAAAGTTGGTGTTTATTACTTGGGAATTTCACTTTGCAGACAGTAAAAAGTAAACAAACACTCTAAGAAAATACGCACTTTACTTTTGACCTAATTTAAATATACCTGGGCAATTGAGATTTGAAAAACTCCGATCGAATTAATTATTAGAAAAATAACACTTCACTTCTTAAAAATTTTAAATTTTAATATTATATATTTTACAAACTCGTAGATGAGGTATTTTCTTTTACAACTATTAAATTTATAATACTTACCTCCAAGTTAACAAATATAAATATTTTTTCAGGTATAAATATTGGTTGATCTTCCTCCATTTCAATTATATATAGTCATTGTTTATACTTGAAAAGACATTTACACTTTTTAAAAGTAAAATTTTCAATAACTATTTGATTGAAATATTGATTGAAGAGTCTAAATAGTATAAATTTAATATTTATAAAAGGAAAAGTCCTTTTTTTATGTATTTTTAGAGAGTAGTAGTACTAAAATTTAAATTTCTAGAATGAAGTACTATTTGTTCTTAATTATTATATTTTATTTTCAATTCAAAAAAAAGGTCATCAGTATGTTTCTTCGTATTCTGCTAAAACCCATGTCACTTTAATTTTTGTTTGAAAATTTTTGAATTTTTATTATATTTTTTTTAAAATATAGTTATGAAAATTTAATGCTAGAGCACTATCTTTACAAGGTTTTCGTAATCAATTATTCTTTAAAAAAGATTAAAAATAAAAACGTTTATTGCAAAAAGTGGGGAATTGTCAAATGAATATACTCTAGAGAGAACTGGGATTTAACTAATTTAGGGTATGTTTAATACTATTTCCAATTAATTAAGGGTACATTTTATATAAATTTTCAAAAAAAAATACTTTTAAGATATAGATTTTATGTATAGAAATTTTCATGAAAAGATAAATTAATTCTTAGAAATTATTCATACTAAATTTAAAAATAATTGGATTTTTGATTTTTGATTTTTCTTTTTTTAAAAAAACTCAAATATTTTATAATATTATTAAAGTGTTTTTCAATAAAAAAGTACTTTTTCATTAAAAAAAAATTCAAACAAACCCCAATGTTAGTATAGAAACAACATTTGAATTGGGTAAGTGTGTGTGTGTCCAAAAGTCAATACTTCCACCAACTTGTGTATATAAGTTTTGTTTATTTATTTATATATTTGCTAAGTTTGGTGGCAAATCTCTTGCAAGAAAAGTTGAGGTCACATGTGGGTAGGGAGACATGGCATGTCTTGTGCCTTGTTGCTTCAATATTCCTCCACCCTGTATAGACTTCTTCAATAATCATAGTCAAGAAATATATGGGCAGGCTTTTATTTTATGTAGAGTAAAGAAGCATGAAAAGTAAAACCCACGTGCCTAAGTTTTCTCTTCTTTCCAGGTGAACCAATTCCACATGTGCACAGTATGCAAGCCATAGGCCGCGGGCTATGCATTGGAAATAGGGATAAAGTTCTGGTAGTATAAAGTACATTTGCATCCCTTGCAATTTTGAAGGGTTTATTTAAGTTTTTTTTTACCTAAGAGGTTATTTTTGAAAATTTTTAAAGTGCTTGGATAAATTAAAAAAAAGATTTTTAAAAAATTAAATTTCAAATTATTTTCAAAAATTGGTATGAATAATTTTTAAAAAATAGAAGTGTGGTAGAGAAGAGAAGAGACTCGTTTCAAAAGGTAAAAAATTTGTTTCTAATAAAAATATCGTTGTATAATTTGAAAAATAACAACTCTTACTCTTACTATTTTTCCAAAGACTTTCATCTATCAACTTTTTCTTAGGAGTGTCACTCCACTACATCATCCTCTCCAATACATGGTCCTCTTCTTTCGCTCTGTCACATGGTCCTCTTCTATCACTCTATTGCCATTGTCTACTTTCATCGTTGTCCGCTTGATGCTACCTTTCATCGTTGTCTGCTCGATGCTAAATCTCTAATCGACACCGCCTCTTTCTCCTGAAACTCCCATTGATGCCAATGTCCTATTATCGGCCCAATCTCCTTCTATATCTCCCACCAACACCATATCTCTCATTGTTAGCCCAATCACCTCCCAAATCTCCCCTCAACGTCACCCTTGTTTTAAATAAAAATATGACATGATAGTATAATAAGTCACCTTGTTTAAAATAAACAAAAATATAAAATATATAATAATTGTTAATTTGATAAAGAAAAAAATTGCCTTTAAAATCTTTTCGTCCAAATATGAAATGTACACGAAGAAGGTAGGCTCTATACCTTCTTATAAATGTACAAAACTGAGTGACGAAAGTATTACTCTTAAAGGCAATCTCACCCAAAATTTTAAAGGTCAGTGCCCCGTCCCATTCTCTTCATTCGCATTTGTAGAAAAAAAAATAAAAAATAGAAATAAACTCGTGATTTAAGAAAATATGGCTTCGTCTTTTGCAGTGTCGGCTGCCAAGTGGGTGGTTTAGATATTAGATTGGTGTTTGTTGAGACGTCAAAGGGGATACCTGTAAAGTGCTTTTGGAAACTGTCCCTCTCCAAGGTCTTGTTTGGCTCCCAACTTGGGCAAGAAGACAAAACAAAAAGGAATTAAGCCAATGCTAAATTCAGCAGCATACGTTGGAACACAACAAAAGATTCTCTCGTGGGAAAGACCTGTACAAATCTCCACTGCTCATTGCTCGTCCCGTCAAGTAAATATGGCATTTGTAATTTAATTTTTCTTAAGAACTAAGGGCATAATTAAGTGAGAGTTAAAATTCGAGCGACAAATAACTCTATGATGAAAATACAAAGGATAAGAGTTAAAATAAAATTCATAAAATAAGTTTAATTTATTTTTTCGTATGTGAGTCTTATGAATGATACATAAATAGTAATTAAATTATTAATAAAGAACTAAATAAAATTATAAAA